TGAGCTTTGCTTTGCTTTGCTTGACTGGTCTTGTGACCCCTTGTTCTCCCCCACTTTGCCTATGGGGGTGTGTCAAATTATAATGTTGTGTAGGCTTAAGTGGGGTAGCCCATATGGGGTACACATTTCCAGGGTTGCATATTTGTATCACTTTCATTCCATAGTCATTCATTCTCGTTCTACTCTTCTCAGGACAAAGCCGAGGAAGACGCAGGGAACAGCACGGGAGGAGAGCTTGTCGGCAGACGTATCGCGGACAAAAGCTCGAGATCCCCAGACTCGGAAACGCGACGCATGGCCAACCTCCCCCGTCCACAGCAGTGTGGGCGAGGTCTCCGGCAAGGAGACACGGGGCCAGAGGTTGAGCTGATGCACAGCGTACCGGACCGCAAAGGGCCACAGAAAGTGGGGGGCAGCCGCATGGATCAAGGAGGTACGGGCGACCTCCATGACCAGGCCAATGCGGCGCTGAGCAATCCCATTCTGCTGTGGAGAGGCCGGAAGCGTGAACGGCTGCTCAATGCCGTGCTCAGCACAGTAGGCTGCCAAGAGGTCGGAGGAGAACTCACCACCTCTGTCAGAGTGCAAGCGCAGGACAGGAAAGTCTGAGTGGAAACGCTCGCTGAGCTGGAGACGGGCTCTGCGGATCCAAGGGATCAAGACATCAGGGACTTCACCCTTGGTGCGCAAGGGGAAGACCGTGGTGTAGCGCGAGTAGTCGTCAACAACTATCAGGAAGTACCTCTCCTGACCCTGACCACAGACGCGGGCTGGGCCCCACACGTCCATGTGGAGCGTCTGCAAGGGAGCAGTCTTCGGGGGAAACGAGGAGGAGTGAGGAGCGGCGCCCTGCGGCCCCTCGACGCAGGGAAGACAGGGAGGAGCAGGTGAGGGTGGGAGGGGAGGGAGGACTCTGGGAAGACCCGAGACAAGGTACCGGGAGTGCATGGCACAAAGGCGCTGCACAGACGGGTGACCAAGTCGGTGGTGCCAGAGGACAGTCTCGTGCGCTAGAGAGCGACACGAGCAGGGGGCAGACAGCTGACCTGACGCGGACGGAGACGCAGACGCAGCGACCTGAGGGTACTCAGTGGTCAGTGTGTACAGGTCCGACCCCGGCTGCCGAGTGAAGGTAGCCAAGTGGCGGCCCGTACGAGCACACGTGCAGTGTGTCACGCACTCGTAGGCAGGGGTGAACTGGTGAACACCCCCGTCCTGGAGTCCACTACCTGCCACCAAGTTCGTAGAGAACGAGGGGAGGTGGAGACCTGATAGTGTGCCCGACGGGACCGCAGGACAGGGAAGGACAGTGGAGGAGGTCGCAATGACCGGACCCTCTGAGGGGTCAGCGAGGGAAACAGCAACTGGCCGAGCAAGCGGCTCAAGGGCAGTGGGGTCACGAAAGAAGCAGCGAGAAGCACCTTAGTCTAGTGTGAAGGTGTGCAGTGCTGCCGTAGACTCAGTACCAGGGGGGGCAGACGCACAAGCACCTAGAGCAGCTGCCTCACCAGCACCTGGGGTAGCAGAGACGCGAGTACCTGGAGCGGCAGACGCTCTAGTCCTAATGCCCGGGTCGGGCGGCACACACAGGTACTCAGCACCCTCTCCACTAGTAGACATCACATACATAGCAGATAGAATAGCATCAAAGTCTAGAGCATAGATATCAATCCCCTTCTTCATGAGATCAACTCAGCGGGGCAGCTCAGTGGCCTGAGGGAACTGAACACGCCAAGCGACGTTGAGACGAGCGAAGCAGCGCTATGTGGCGTGCGGTCCCCCACACGGCTGACCAGTGCGGTCACCAGTGCGAATGACGTACGTGCAGCTAAAGCCACCCCCCCCCCCCCCCCCCCCCCCCGTCCTGAGAGTACCACTCACGGACCTCCTGGGGCGACGGAGTGTGCTGCTGGCCCTGGCCACCGCCAGCTCCTCCACGACCACCACCGCCGCCGCCACCTCCTCGACCACCCCAACCCCTGCCGCCGCCGCGTCCACCGCCACCCCCACCACCTCCTCCGCCCCTGCCACCTCCCCCGCCGCTGCCGCCACCACCCCCACCGCTGCCACTAGCCCCTCCAGACGCGCCACCACCCCCACCGCCGCCATCGCCCCCACCACCGCCTCCCCCGCTGTCACCGCCACCACCCTTGCCCCCTTTGCCCTTGCCGCTGCGGCGCCCGCTCGAAGTAGACGCAGTCCCGACCTTCTCAGCACCAAGGAGGTCGACAGCAGCAGCAGAGGCGACAGAGGGAAGAAGGGGGGAAGGAGAACACCCCTCAAAGAACGGGGTACGGGGGTCGCCACGAGAGGCACCTACAGTGACTATGCTAGCCTCAGCTGCAAGGAGTTCCTTCTCGAGGAGGGCAATGGTGAGCTCAGTGGGGCAGCGAGCTAGGAAGTGGTCCTTGACTGAGCGCAGAGTGTCAGGGAGGCGGGTGACTAGGTGGTAGAGAGTGAGCCAGAGTGGGGGTGGGTTCTTGGCAAGGAATTCATCAGGCATGGCGGCGCAGAATCGAGCCTCACTAGTGCGGAGGTGCGTAATGAGGTCAGCGACTGTGTTGAAAGAGGCCAAGTCAGGGAACAGGTAGGGAAGAGAGAGACGGCCTAGTGCGGCAGAGGCCGGTGAGGAGTAGCGGGCAACGACAGCAGTGTACAGTGCCTGTGCAGTCTTGTGCTGCCCAAAGTGCTCGCGCTCATCTATCGGCAGGGAGTTGCGAATAGCGAAGCGAGCGTGGGCGTCACGAGTCTGCCACTATGAGCGGGCAGTGCTGTTAGCAGTAGCAGCAGGAGCAGGAGCATGGCCTAGGGCGTGATCGTACAGTGAGATGTCCTCCTTGGCAGTGAGCTGTAGGTAGAGGTGTAGGTCATCTAGCCAGGTTTCGAACTTCACTGGGCGGCCCTCAGCATCGAAAGCCAGTACAGGAGGGTTAGCCATAGCAGTAGTAGGAGTAATAGCAGTAGGGGCACCCCAAAAACAGTAGGCAGTGCGACTCAGGTAGGGCGGCTCGGTCCAGTACGGGCGGCGCGGCTCGGTTCAGGTAGGACGGCGCAGCTCGGGAAGGGCGGCGCGGCTAGGTTCGGGCGGCGCAGCTCGGTTTGGGCTGGGCGGCTCGGTTCGGGCGGCTTGGTTCTGGCTGGGCGGTTCGGTTCGGGCTGGGTGGCTCCGTTCGGGCTGCTCGGGTCGGGCGGCTCGTTCTGGGGGGGGGCGTTCGGGGCCACTAAGGGCGAGCGCGGGGCCGACGGGGCCCTCTAGGGAGGTGAGCGCGGGGCCGACGGGGCCGACGGGGCCGTTAGGGGCGATCGCGGGGCCGACAGGGTCGCTAAGGGGCGAGCGCGGGGCCGTAAGAGGCGAGCGCGCGGGCCGACGGGGCTTTAAGGGGCGGCGCGCGAGTCGCTAAGGGGCGGGTCACGGGTCGCGGGGCCTTAGAGGGCCGTGAAAACCGAGGCGCCCTAGGGCGCAGGTAGGTAGGTAGGTAGGTAGTGGTGGGCCCTTAAAAATCGGTCCTAGGAAGGACCTGCTCTATACCATGTTGAAATGAATGAACAGGAATGATTGAACTAGCAGTGAAATCATTACAAGTACCTAACCCTAGAATTATGTACCCCTTATAGGCTAACCCACTGTAGCCTAAACAAGCACAACATTTATAATGTTTGACACTCATCGCCTGACTGTTGCCCTCGCCTTCGTCCACAGGCGACTCCTGACGCGCTTCACCTCGCGTCTGGCGTAGCTCGGCGTTTTCCTCTCGCAGTGTTGTCACTTCCGCCATTAATGCCTTCATGCTCTCCTGCATTTCTGCCACTTGCGCCATCATCCTGTTGACCGCCTCCTGATCCATGTGCCAAGCGCTACGTCTGGTGGGCAATCGGGTCTCCGTGGCCTTCAGGCAAGTGAAAACACGAACTATCGGAGTCGGGCAGGATTGAATTAACAATCCCTGCAGCCAACCGTCGTGTAGTCACTAAACCAGCCACACCCTATGCCACCAAACTACCCTCGGAAAAGCGGGGTGAACTAGGAAAGTAGCTCTGATACCAGGTGTTATGAGTTGTTAAAGAGAGTGCGCAGGTAAACGAATAACGAGGCTGTGACTGAATCAACAGCGAATACAATGAGTGCACAGACTAATGTAGGGCTAGTCTAGCTAGGAGGAAACCTCGGACGAGCAAGGTTGGGTGCAGGTTTGGCGATGGGAATGCCGAAGGCGACGCGAGGAGCCTCGGCAGCGTCGAAATCGGCCGAACGTGCGAACTCCGAAAATCGGGTTGTACGCGAAGCAGTCAACCCCGATAAGGAATTCGGGAAAATTCCTTACAATGTTTTAAGTCATGTTTGACATAAGAAGAGTGGACCCCCCAAGTACATCCGCTTCCACAATCAAACCCATCAACCTTGAAGGATACATGTTTAAACAGGTTCTATCTACCTACTAGTGTCGCTGACATGCAAATCTGCTATGGTAATAAAAAGCATGGAGAATCTCCCACCAAAGAACACCTTTCTCATGTCATGTTCATCTCCCCCCCCCTCCCCTTCTCGCCCCTAACCGCCTCCACATATTTATTTATGCTTCCTCTCCCCGTCGGCAATTCTCTTCGTCTCAGCTGCTGCTAGAAGCTTTCCATATCCCGTGCTCCAATAAACCCAGTCAGTGAGCCACACAGGCGCAAACCACACCATCGCCATCACAGTGGTCCAGAGTTCTCCGGCAAAGAGGCGCCAGGGAGGGCTGGGGGAAAGCGAGGCGTTTGCAATTAGAGAAGCGAGTTGGGAAGGGGGAGTCATGGCCGTTGTATGGGGCAGGCTAGCCATTTTGTCGATGTTGGCTTGGCAGGGCGCGTAGAGGCTGGTGGGTGGCAGCTGGACGGAAATCTGAGGGGATTTTCTGCAAGCAGTGAGAAAAAGGATGATGACATTATTATTGAAGCTTGCGAAAGTGTTTTCGATACAGAGATGCTGGTGGTTTTGCTGAAAGTGCATTGTTCCACCCCACTCACCCGAAAAGCTCAGTCTTGATAAGCCCAGGAGTCGCAAGCACAACCTTTATTCCAAACGGCTTCATCTCCATGCGCATGCAGTTGGTCGCTGCTGTCAACGCTGCCTTGGATGCCGAATATACAGCGCCCATGGGCCTGTGATTGAGCGCGTAATGAGGGTCGAGTATGGGAGAGAGAGAGTGGGGAAAGGGAAGGGAGACGGCTTCATCTCCATGCGCATGCAGTTGGTCGCTGCTGTCAACGCTGCCTTGGATGCCGAATACACAGCGCCCATGGGCCTGGGGGATTTGATGAGAGTTCAGAGAGAGAAAGGGGGAAGGGGGAAGGGGGAAGGGGGAAGGGAGGCGACTCATCTCCGTGCGTATGCAGTTGGTTGCTGCAGTCAGTGCTGCCTTGGATGCCGAATAACACTGCACCCATGGGCCTGCCATGAATCGTGGGAGAGGCAAGGGGGACCCGAGGAAAGGGCTTCATTTCCATGCGCACGCAGTTGGTCACTCCGGTCAGTGCTGCCTTGGGTGCTGAGCGTACTGCACCCATGGGCCTGTGGAAGCACATATGGGGAAGAATGGGGAAGGGAAAGGGAGGGAAAAAGGAGGGGCTTCATCCCCGCTGCCGCTCAGCCATGTGGGAAAACACAGCCTTTTGCCATGACCACTGCCCCAAGCAGGGTCGTGATGTCCCCATCGTTTAAAATGGGAAGCAAAACCCCCGCCATACTTGAAGGCCTCACAGCCTTTGCCATGGCCACTGCCCCAAGAAAACTCAATATCTCACCACCAACTCAGGAAGCTCCAACGCCCCCGTTATACTCACAGTGCCTGATATCCCAGGATGCTCGACATATTCACAATGCATCCGCTCCTTCTCTCAGCCATGTGAGGAAACACGGCCTGTGCCATAGCCACTGCCCCCAGCAGGTTGGTTTCGAAGCCATGGCGCCAGGAGGAGAGAGGGAGGTCCGCCACTGGCCCCATTATAAGCACACCCGCGTTGTTCACAAGAATGTCGATCTGCCCGGCGCTCTTTACAATCACATCCACTGCAGACTGCAAGAAACGGGGGAACCAAAAAGGGAATGAGGAGAGGGGGGGGGAGGAGTATGAAAGGAATGAGTGGATGGGACAATTGGGGGGGATGAACAAAGGGAAGGGGATAAACAAGACAGTTACAAGCGCACCTTAATATCACCGTCTTTAGTCACATCCAGCTTCACTGTACTCACACCCTTCTCCTGCAACCCTTCCATTGAATCTACCGACCGCGCCGTCGCAAATACCTTGGCACCCCGCCGTGCATACTCCCTGGTCGTGTGGGGAGTGAGGAGGGGGAGGAGGGGGAGGGGAGGACTGGGTGGGCTGAAGGGGATGAGGCGCGACTCGGACTAGAGGGCACCAAAGCAGAGCCGTCGCAAACACCCTGGCGCCCCGCCGCGCGTACTCCCTCCCTGGTCGTGTGGGCAGAGGAGGGAGAGGGGAGGAGTGGGTGGGCTGGGGGGGATGAGGGGGATGAGGGGGATGAGGGGCAATGGGAGGAATGGCAGCTTCACTGTAGGCACGCCCTGCTCCTCCAGTCATTTCATGGCCAGCTTGGCTACCCTCCTCCAGACCCTCCATGGCCCTCTACCAACCGAGCCGTCGCAAACACCCTGGCGCCCCGCCGTGCATACTCCCTGGTTGTGGGGGGAGTGAGGAGGGGAAAGGGAGGAGGAGGGGGAGAGGGCGGCACGGACGAGAGGGCATCAAGGAAGAGCCATTGTAAACCTCTTGGCGCCCCCCATGTGTGCTCGCTGGTGGGTCGTGTTTTGAGCCGACTCAAAACACGACTCATTATACGCGGAGACGGCGGCACGGACGAGAGGGCATCAAGGAAGAGCCATTGTAAACCCCTTGGCGCCCCCCACGCGTGCTCACTGGTGGGTTTGTGACGTCTCAAAACTATGCGTGCTCGCTGGTGGGTATGATGAGAGGTGTGTGCTATAAGAGTGGGGTTGGGGGGAGTAAGGGCATCAAGACAAAACCAAGGGGCGGCACGCACGAGAGGGCAGCAAGGAAGAGCCGTTGCAAACACCTTGGCGCCCCGGCTCGCCGCTCTAATTGATGAGCAGGGGAGTGCGAGTGAAGGAGGGAATGCGCGTGAGAGGGAATGAGAGAGAGAATGGGAACGCGAGTGAGAGGGGGAATGCAAGTGAGAGGGGGAATGCGAGTGAGAGGGGGAATGCGAGTGAGAGGGGGAATGCAAGTGAGAGGGGGAATGCGAGTGAGAGGAGGGATGCAAATGTGAGAGGGAATGTGAGTGACAGTGAAAAGGATGATACAGCGGGCTATGAGGATGTTTGCGTCGAATTCAATTCACAGTGTTAAAAGTTCCTAATCACACAAAGAACCCCCGGAGACTAGGTATCTAAAAAGGCGTACTCTGCTAGCGCGTAACCAATTCCTCCTTTAGAGCATCCCGTTATTGCCACAACTTTCCCGTCCCCGCGATGCTGCTTCGGCCGGCCGAAAACCCCTCCCATAGTTGCCACGGACGCAGGAGATAATTGAAAAACGTGAGTATAAATACAAACGACCCGCTGGTTATGAGGTATGCGGCCGCCCCGCAACGGAAAGTGCTATTTACCCCGCATTTGACGCGGGATCGCTAGTAGCTAATGCGAACAAGATGCATTGACTTCTACAATTGCCGACCTGGTTTGAGTAGACACTAGCCCTTTTCCCGACACAACTGTTTATCCCCACAAACTACGGTTCGGTCTGGTTAATTGCGTTGCAAATGAGTGGATTTTGATCTCCGATGAAGGGCTGGTTCGAGGAAACCAACTGAACCGCACTGTCAGCCGGATGGCGTGCGGAGTGTTCGTGCGACGGTGGTAACGCGAACAACACATTTTCGTAGTGGAAGAAGGGGGGTAAGGTTACAAGTGTGGTTACAGGTGAGAGTAGCCAAACCTGAACATTGAAGAATGCCGAGCCGATGTTCGACCCGAATCGAACCAGCTGACAAAGCCGTGGATGGAGCGAAATTCCAAAGTTGCAGATGAATTTGCGCGGAAGGGAGCTCCCCCCAACCACAGTCATACAACACACGAACGGAAATCCTCGCCCGCACTGCCACAGGTGGAGGCTTTGTCGATTGCAGGATTCTCCCCCATTTCATTGGTGGTAGAATTCCCAGTTGACTTATAGCAGTCCACAAGAGTCCACCAAGCACCACAAGTGCGGCTTAATGTGGTATTCTGGGTTCCAGAGCGTTGGAGTGAGATAATAAGCAACTTCTCAGGTTTTGCCAGTGTTTAGGTACAGATTCGTTGCCGTTCCTCCACCAGCAGTTCAGCTTGATCAAGATCAGATCCTTGGTTTCATCGAGAGCGTGCGGTGTGGAATCAATGATTGTTCGGGCAGGTGAGCTTCGGTTCAAAGCGGCGAAAATTGAGAGAGCTCTAAATTTCACAGGAGCGCACTCAAACCGTCTGAACCGAACAGAAAGTGGAACTCTTCTGACACACTTCGGAACCGCCAAATAAACTCTCCCAATCACTTCACTACTGTTTTACTAGACAGAGTGCGCGGAAGACTTCTATAAAGAGAATGAATTACAGAATTACTGAATTATCAAGAATGATAAAGGAGCACGCATTTTTAGGGTCGAAACCGTGCTAGGCGAGGACCTCGGGACGTGGATGGTTTGGATGTGTCGCGATTGGTGCGGGGTGACTCGGCATTGGTTCGGTGCGGAAATGTAGGCCGAGACACCTGACGCGAAGTGCTCGGGCTGTACCCGTCAAGGCAAGGCTACGGTAAGGAATTAGCAAATTCCTTACACTCTCCCACCTTCTAGATAAGGTCCCCTTATCCGTAGACGATTCGCGCAGTAGCGTGAAAACTGCAGATCTTGGTCGAGACTTATCTGACGGTGCAGAAGCACGTTGACTTTGGAGTTGACGCGTGGCTGACCAGTTGACCAGGCGAATTTCGAAAAGTTGGAATGTCAGCCGTCGAATTCCCTAGATGTCGATCGGAAGGTCGCGATTGAATGGAGGTCGTTGATCTAGCGAAGGCAAATCGGACGGTGTTGACGAGGGCGATGGTGGCAGTTCTCTGACACGCTGTCAGAGGTCGGTGAATCAAGAGCCGAAGAAGGCCATCGCGAGCGTTCGTCGTGCAGGATCTGTCAGACGAGATGTCATAAAAAACTGGTCAGTACAGTGCGAGAGCACTCTCTCCCCCCCCTTTGAAAAAGACTGCCACCCCGAAATCTCCGCGTGGCAGCACCGAATCACCCTGCTGCCGCAGTATCTTCAGCTGTCAGCAGCTGCAAGCCGGACTGCTGTCTTTTTGTCTTGCTGCTGTGGCAAAATTCTCGCTGTCACTGCTCTAGTTGTCGGCGCCCCCAGCAGTCTTGTCCAGACTCGCCGAGACTTTTGTCGATATTCTCCGAAAAGTACCAGGCAGAGGCGAAAAACAGCTGTTGCTCTCCCCCCTGACCTCGCAAATATTTTTTCAAAGTTGAACTTGAACTGTCGATGACGTCAGCTACCTCGGCGATGTTGTCGTGACTCGCCGAAAACTTCCGGGCAGTGGCGAAAAACAGCTGTCGCCTCTCCCCCTTTCTGTAGCAATACTTCTTAATTGTTGTCGCTGGTACCCCCGAGCAGCTTCCGATTTGTACGGCTACACATTTGACGACGAGTGCCTTCGCGCGCTTAATCCAGCATCGCTGCAACTCCGCCACCGGCACGGATACTTTCAGCGACCCCGCTGACTCCGTTAAGACTCATTCTCGAAACTGCTGGGTCCACCCGCAAATGTCGGAAATAACCACACCACGTAAAGTCTTGGTCGCCTGCAGGCTGTCCCCTGAAAGAACCGGTGTTTCTATCGCGCCCACCCGGTCACCATTTTTTTCGTGCGGTTAACCACCCAAGCGACCCACCAACAGGATGTGCTTTTTAGGCGTGGAACCCAGTACTTAGGGGTCTTTTGAGACCGATTTTCACGGACCCTAGCGCGCATCAACGCCGCAGGTCTCGCAGCAGAACTCCCCCAGAATGCTTCGAAGTACACCGAGAAACGCTTAAACAGCTGGCGAGCAGACTTTCACCCGTCTCCCACCGTCGAAGTTGCGCCCGAAAATCATGGTTGAGGAATCAAGCCCCGAAGTATTTTCTGCCTTGTAGCCCCGACATTTCCGCCGTTAACCCTGGTACTCCGACGTTCACCCATCTTCGTACCTGTCGAAAATACTTAGCAAATCCCACGCATCCTTGGCATACACCCCTCGCCGCGCCTCCATGTAACAATATCAAAACCTTTCGGGGGTCTACCGAATAGACTCTGAAATTCGCGGTGGAGTGGTATACGGGCTTCGCCTATCACTCAAGTAGCTTGAAACGGCACCCACAACTTTCCCTCCTTTTTTGTTTTGCTTTCGCCCCCCGACTATTTCGCATGCCGCCGTTCACCCAGCGTCCGCTTTTGTCGGATGAGACATTCTTCGTGTTGACCCGCGATTTTTCTGGCGTTCGATGAAGGCGCGAACACAATCGTAGCCGGGGATGTTTATCGTATCAAACGCTCGCCCAGCAGCTTCGCTGCCCACCATGGCTATCGCACTTAAAAGACTCCACAGCTTTGGGAACTCCATCTTCGCTGCTACACCGCCGTTGGGTAGACCGTTGAATAAGGAGAAACACCGACAGCTGCCACAATTTCCTCAGTCCCGACTTTTTCGGCAGGGTAACTGTCGCCGATGGTCCGTTTTTGTCGGGGCCCCACAGAGTCGCACCACGAAATGCTTCTTGTACGCCCTGCCGTCGAACCAGCGCCACCCACGCCTTTCTAACCAGCACAGGGCTAAAACACAGGGCCCCACCTTTTTATCCAGTAGCCAACAGGACTTACGAATTGCCTTCGAGGCTTTTCTGGTGTGAGGTGGTGAAACGTCGGTAGACTTGGCTGGTAGGGAGCTCCTTCTGCTACCGTCGCTTAGCCGTGAGACTCGGCCTCAGCAAAAGTCGTCGCTGTAGGTCGTTTTTCTCGTCTCCTGAAGTCGGAACCCGTTTCTCTCGCCGGACCCGAATTAGTCGCAACTCCGTTTATTGTAGCCGGTAGAACCTCCGAAAATCGCGGGTCTAAACGCTACGCCGAATCGTTGTTCCGTGGTGTACTGGGCTGTCTGCAAACACCTGGCCGGAGGGAACTGTGCCGCCTTAAGTGCAGGATCGGCAGTCTCTGTTGCTTCCGAAAATTTCGCCAATTATCATTGTGCCAGAAACAGTAGTCACCCAAGCCGGAACAGTCTAGTCGTAGGCGGCCTTTTCCGAACTTTTCGGTGGTTTGAAGAACAACTTCCGTCCCACACTGTGGTGCTCTGCCAAAAAACGCCCACGACGCACCCTCCTGCAGCAACACCTGCCGCACCCGGGCGGGACGACGGTAGACCCCCGCTTTCTTCGGGCAGTCTCCACGCCGCCTCTCCTCGCCGTCGGTTTTTCCGACGCAAATCACACATTGCGCCTGGCTGCTCGACCAACAGTCGTTTTCCACGTGCTGCTACCCGAAATCTTCGCGCACAGTGACGACGCGCCACTTGCCGAAGACTTCCACTTGCTCGT